AAATCTGGTGCAACGTATTTAATACCCATCCTCCCTAACATTGAAACGTCTGTTTTCTTGTCTTATTCTTCTCTTCATGTAACTCCTCCTAATTACTATAATTATTTTATTGTGATAGAGTATCCTGTTTTAAAAGTTACCAGTTCAGAAGAACACGTCTACAAAAGTCTATGTAAATCTTAAACAAATCTGCTACTGTTTTATCATCTTTTTCCATAACAATACTTTTTTTCTCTCTTTTTCTATGACAGTTTTTATCTCGCAAAAAAAAACTCTCAGTTGTGTGTGTGGAGGGAGGCATTATCATAAAATCGCATGGTACAGACAGGGCACAGCTGTTTTTTACAAATATACTCAAGACAGTGGCAACAACTAGTCTCTCAGACAGTGATTTCCCCAAATCATACCAGTCATCAACTGAGTAGTCAGAAAAGGAAAAGCAGATCATTTGCAACTGAAGAAAGACAAAATCTGTAATTGAAATCTGTTCTCTCATGGTTTTAGTCAAATAAATTCACAATTACTAAATTTGACAAATGCACATTCATCAGATAAGTATTTCCAGGGAGAAGAGATACTGTGGCTAACTCCTGCAATAAGAAATTTAACTTGACATTTTAATACAGGGAGATGGATGAGTATGTTGATAAGAGGAGACTCCAAGCCAGAATAAAACATACACCCTGTTCAAAAGGATCAAATCCAGCAGTTTCAGGGTTTAGGATTGTATGTGAAGAAACTATATTAAAATCTACAAATGGGAAGGTGGGCTGAGTTGAGGCCTCTGAGTAAGAATAAACAGTTTAAGAGAAAAGAAATGTAGTACCTTGGGAGGTACCTTAGGGTAGGGGAACAGCATGCAAGACAGAGGAAGAGGGAGAGAGAGAGAATAATTTTCGAATACAGTCACAGAACAGGATACGGTCAAAATGGGGAGTAGAGTATCCGGTATTTACTGCTGTTCTTATGAACTAAATATCTGACAAATATTTGCCATACCTTACTGGATATTTCTTTCTGCAGAAAGTAGATAAAACTAGAGTAATAACTGCCATTTCTTAAGTACTCAGTTCCAAGCACTATACTAAGCAATTTGTATATGTGATCCTATTGAATTATTTCAACCATCAAATATTATCCTCATTTTAGAAATAAAGAAATTAAAGCCCAGAGACATTAATTACACACGTTAAAACAGCTAGGAGGTAGAAGAGAAGAATTTGAATCCAAAGCCAATGTTCATAATCATCCCTCAAAAGTACAAAAATAAAAGTCTTAAGGAAAAGGTAAGCCTCTTGATTTTAATGTTAGAATCAGACTTGCTGCTAGAAATTAGGAAAAGAGAATTGTTTTTATTCAAATATGGAGGAAAAATATATGGTTCCATGAACAAAAACTCTAAAAGCTAATGTATTGTAAGAGAGACAGACAATAGCAATGCATATTCACCTGGCCATAGAAGCTGAGATAAATTTAAACTGAAATTTAATAATAACAACAAATTCTTCATCATGCAACGTGGTCATGTGATTCTTAACATGACAGGAAACATTTCCCACAAGATTAGCTTTGAGACCATTTAGCAGCTGATACACCTAAATTGTTTTCAAGTGAGGAATTAAATTGTACACTGACAGAAATCTAATTTCTATTGCGAGGAGTTGAGTGTGTATTTTTTTTTTTCAGATGATGCAACAACTGCCACTGTTGAGTTTGCTTAAAGTCACACCAGCAGGAAGGATTTAAGTTCTTTGAGTATTTAATCCATATTGGCTGAGGGAAACCATGTTTAAAATGGTTAAAAGTGCTTGTACCCCTTCACTCCCCAGTTTGGGATTTTAACAACTATCCTTGATGCCAACTTCTTTTTTTTTTTTTTTTTTTGAGACAGAGTTTCTGTCGCCAGGCGCCAGGCTGGAGTGCAGTGGCACGATCTCGGTTCACTGCAACTTCCACCTCCCTGGTTCAAGCAATTCTCCTGCCTCAGCCTCCCGAGTAGCTGGGACTACAGGTGCATGCCACGACGCCCAGCTAAGTTTTGTATTTTTTTAGTAGAGATGTGATTTCACCATGTTGGCCAGGATGGTCTCGATCGCTTGACCTCGTGATCCAACTGCCTCTGCTTCCCAAAGTGCTGGGATTACAGGTGTGAGCCACTGCACCCTGCCCTTAATGCCAACTGCTTAAAGTCTCCATTAAAAATGAACCAAAAGAACATAAAATATTTAGCTAACTAAAACAGGAATTGACTTGATGAAGCTTTGATCTCTGGCCAGTATGGCCACTTAGCTAATGGACTCCAGCCAGTGAGATGAACCTTGCCCCAAGCCAAAAACAGTTGACCCACAGTGAATGGAGCACAAGACTGTCCACTTTCTTATCCACCTGCTATCACAGCATAAGGGTAAAAGTGAGTTGTTCTGTGTGTGATTAAAACCCTGGAAGGGTCTAGAAGTAGTGCTTGCTGCCAATGAGGAGTCTATGGACTTAAATGTCTGTTTTTCTTGTGTGTTTTACTTAAAAATGAAAACCCATTCAGAAACTGGACACAAAATTTCCTTTTAAAAAACATTTTAATTATGGATTTATAATAGTTGTACATAATTAAAGGGTACATCTGACATTTCAATACACTCATACAATGTGTAATAAATCATAGTAATTGGGGCATCCATCACCTCAAGTATTTATCATCTCTTTGTGTTAGAAACATTCCAATTCCACTCTTTTAGTTATTTTGAAATATACAATAAGTTATTAACTGTAGTCGCCCTATTGTGCTACCAAACACTAGGTTTTATTCCTTCTACCTAATTGCATTTTTGAACCCAACAACCATGCCCTCCTCATCTGCCCCCTCCCCACTACCCTTCCCAGACTCTGGTAACTATCATTCTACCTTCTATCTCCATGAGTTCTTCTTTTTTTTTAAGCTCCCACATATTAGTGTGAACATTCACACTAGTGTCTTTCTGTGCCTGGCTTATTTCACTTAATGTTTTCCAGTTCTATCCATGTTGCAGCAAATGAACAGATTTTTTTTCTTTTTTGAGGCTGAAAAATATTACCTTGTGTATATGCACCACGTTCTCTTTACCCATCTATCCACTGATGAACACTTAGATTGATTCCATATTTTGGCAATTGTGAATATCACTGCAATAAACATGGGAGGGCAGATACCACTTTGATGTACTGATTTCCTCTTTTTTATTTTATTTATTTATTTATTTGGTATTTACTCGGCAGTAGGCTTGCTGGCTCATATGGTGGCTCTGTGTTTAGTTGTTTGAGGACTCTCCGTACTGTTCTTCACAGTGCTGTACCAATATACATTCCTACCGACAGTGTACAAGTGTTCCTCTTTCTCCACTTCTTTATCAGCATTCTATATTGCTGGTCTTTTGGATAAAAGCCATTTCAACTGGGATGAGATTATATCTCCATTTCAACTGGGATGAGATTATATCTCATTGTGGTTCTGATTTGCATTTCTCTGATGATTAGTGATGGTAAACATTTTTTCATATACCTGTTGGCCATTTGTGTGTCTTTTTTTTTTTTTTTTTTTTTAGAAATATCCATTGAGGTCTTTTGCCCATTTTTAAATTGGATTATTTGAGTATTTGCCTATTATATTATTTGAGCTCCTTATACATTCTGGCTATTAATCCTGTGCAGATGAGTAGTTTGCAAATATTTTCTCCCACTTGATGGGTTGGGAGAAAATACTCTTCACTTTGTTGTTTCTTTTGCTTTGCAGAAGCTTCTTAGCTTGGCATGATCCCATTTGTCCTTTTTTGCTTTGCTTGTCTACGTTTTTAAGGTCTTACTAAGAAATATTTGGTTCTGGAGATTTCCCTAATGTTTTCTTCTAGTAGTCTCAATAGTTTCAAACCTTATATTCCAGTCTTCAAGTCACTTTGTTTCAATTTTTTTTTAATATGGCAAAAGATAGGGATCTAGTTTCATTCTTCTACATGTAGTTATCTAGTTTCTCCAAAACAATTTGTTGAAGAGACCCTCCCTTACCCAACATATGTTTTTGGCAGCTTTGTCAGAAATTAACTGACTGTATATGTATGGATTTATAGTCAACTGTATATGTATGGATTTATTTCTAGGTCCTCTATTCTATACCATTAGTCTATGTGTCTGTTTTTATGCCAGCACCATGCTGTTTTGTTTATTATCACTTTGTAGTATAATTTGAAGTCAGGTAATGTGATGCCTCCAGCTTTATTCCTTTGCTCAGGATTGCTTTGGCTACTCTGTGTCTTTTGTGGTTCCACATAAATTTTAGGATTTTTATCTTTCTGTGAAGAATGTCATTGGTATTTTGATAGGGATTACATTGAATCTGTAGATTGCGCTGGGTAGTATTGAAATTTTAACAATATTGATTCTTCCAGGCCATGAGCACAAAATATCTTTCCATTTTTTGTGTGTCCTCTTCAATTTCTTTCATCACTGGAAAAATCTCTACAATAAAAAAAGTGAATTTCTTCGTGGTACAAGTAAGTCTTTTAAGATAAGAAATTTTAAGATTCCCTCCAAAGCTATACTGAAAATTTCCCAAGGGCAGGAATTATCTCTGTTATATTCATCACTACATCCAGAGCCTAGCTGGCACAAAATGTAGCAAACAGAAGACCCTGTGTAATAAGGGTTGACTGAGTGAGAGAACCTCTATATTTTACTGAGTTAGTTTGAGGTTTTTATGTTACCTTTATCGTTATAGAGCCATAAAATGAATTTTTTGTGTGGAGCCACACAAAATTGCACCACGACGGTGTTTTTCTTTAAAACGAGCACAAGAATAAAGCTAAACGCAAATATTCGCCTCACTGGAAAGCATTGCGCGTGCGCTATCCTCCGCTATTGCCCAACACCACGCCTCTCAAAGACCCTCTCGCAGGAGAATCACCTTTGCGCTTGCTCAGTTGCGGACTACACAACCAGGGGGCGGGCTCAAAAAAAAAAAAAAAAAAAAAAAGGAAATGGTCATTGCGCATGCACCGCTCCTTCTGCGGCTTAGGCCGGCTGCGCAGGCGCACAGGTACCATTTTGACCGTAAACATCCTGCCGATTTGAACCGAGGATTTGGGCGGCAGGAAGAGCCGCGGCGTAACGGCAGCCATCTTGTTTGTTTGAGTGAATCGGAAAGGAGGCGCCGGCTGTGGCGGCGGCTGGAGCTGCTCCGAAGCTACACCTCGAAGGGTTCCCCCCTTTCCCCGCCCCCTCCCCCAACCCTTTTCCCCTCCCCGGGCCACCCAGCCCGCTCAACTCCCAGCGGAGAGCAAGGTAAGAGGCTCGCCGACCCCTTCTTTCCCTTCAGCTTCCTCCCCCCAACCCGTTCCCCGCCGCGCTGCAGTCGTGGAGCGGGACTCCTAGGGACGGGAGGGCGAGGGAGAAGGCAGCACTCGCCGCGGCCCCGCGTGCTGCCACCCTCCCTGCGCCCGAGCGGCGGCGCTACCCGCCCAGCCCTCTTCGCCCCGGGCCCGCCCTCGGCCGGGACCCGTGCAGCCTGGGCCCGCATCATCGCTTGTTCGGTAACAAATGGTTCTAATCCATTCTGAGCAAAGGCTGTTACTCTGCGGTCCCGTCTCACGTCCCCAAGGAGGCCGGGGAAACCCTGGGCTCCAGAGGGATGGGGAGGAGGTTTGAACGAGCCCGCTCTGGGGACCGGGCCGCCTACTCCGTGAGTAAAAATGGCTGTCTGGGAGGAGGAGGTGGCGGGCCCGGCGCCCGCACTGCCAGCCCCGGGAGCAGCAACCTTCCGCCGAGCTCGGGTGCGGGGCTCGAGAACGTGCGGACCTGGTGGGGCGGGGGCGGGGGCGGCGGCGGGTGCCCCTCGGCCAGTGACTGCTGCCCTCCCCTTTTAAAAAGATAATTTTTACATTGGGAATACTAAACCTTGCACAGACACGTAGAAAAAGCGACGGAGGGAAGTTGCTTCTTATTCCGAGGACGTTTGCATAATGACTGGTTTTCCCCTCAACTTTTCCAGTTATTTTTAAAAGTGATTAAGGATATCGGGTGTTGTAGAGACGCTGTGGGGGACGTGTGTGTTTCTGATAAATATCGGAAAAAGGCTTTTTGCGAATGATCCGCTCTGATAGTGTAGGGTGATACTGTCGAGTTGTGCTGCCAGACTTTGTGGCCTTCTTCAAATTTGTAAGAGGGAAATGCCGGGGGGGTTACTTGGTCACTGATTTGTTAATGTCTTCAGCGTGCAAAAAAGCATTTGTGTGAAGGGTTTCTGGGAAAGACGTGTTTATCTGCTTCTTTTTGCAAGGGAAAGTTTATCTTTGCTCTCATAGTGGTTAGGAGAGTAATTGGTTTTCAGGCACAATTTTCTATTTTCTTAAAATGGATGTGAATGCCAGTGGGCTGTGCTAGTCTAGAATTTTGGAGACGGGCAGAAGGTTTCTGAAATCGTAAAGTCATTAAATACCTTTGTTAATGTCGGAGGCAACTGATTTTTTTTGGCAAGGCATTGATTAGGACATACGCCATATCTCCAGAAAGTTAAGTTTGCATAGTTGAGGTGACAGAAGTGCGTAACTAATAGACATAGTACTTTTTATACACAAGTCAGAATTAGAAAAGAGAGTTTCTTTTCTGGTGAATTACTATTTTGTGAAACACACAAATTCTGAGAAACTCTTTTATAGTTTGGTACAGATTGGAAATGTTCTAATTCTTGGAAGAAAGGTTGTGTTTTTAGTTTAAATGTCATGATAGTTTTAGACATGATTATATTGGCTAGTTAATGTTTTGCATCAAGAGTGTCCTGAGAGTTAACTCTTTGCAGCAGCAGTGACACTATGTTAGATGTGCTCTTGTATTTAGTTTTCATAATCTTTTTTGGTGAATATTATCCCGACTTTATTATAGTTGGGAAATAACTTACCGTTATTCAACAACTATGTAAAGAGGGAGCTGAATTTGAACCTACGACTGTCTGATTCTAAAAATCCTTGGTCAAAGGATGTTAGAAGGAAAACAGAGGAAATTTCTAGTGTGCAGGGTTAGAAATACCTTCTGAGATCTGCCTACCACTCCCCCAAAGAGGTAGCTCCATTCTGATCTGAGTTAGATATTGATGTTTTCAAAGGTTAGGGAAATCACCAGATTTCAACCTTTTATGCTTTTATAGTAGGGACACTGAACTGCAGAGGTTAGGCAGCTTAACCTGCTAATTAATGACAAAGCAGGATTATGAATTTACTTCTGAGGTAGTAGTTTTTACTTTGAATAGGTGACACACATATATGCCCCAAGTTTATATGTGTATGTATCGAGCATTGCAGAAAAGTAGGCCTTGCATGCCCTGCGTACCTACTTTTCAGAGTTAACCAGTTTCACCACTTTCATGTATACGCCGCAGATACTCTCAGCTTATTCAAGAGCTTGTAAATATATGGAGAAAAGACCATTCTTTTTTTTTAACTCCAACTTTTCTGCACTTAACCTGGAGATTTTCCATATTAGCACAAATGTTGTATTCCTGTTTAAAGCTGTAGTGTACAACTGTTCCTTGATATTAAAGGGGGATTGGTTCTGGGACCGAATCATGAATGCTCAAGTCCCTTATATGAAATAGTGTAGTATTTGCATATAACCTACTCACATCCCATATACTTCAAATAATCTCTAGATTACTTATAATCTACCATGTAAATGCTATGTTAGTAGCTAATATAGTTGTTACAGTTTTTTATTTGTATTTTTTTTATTGTTGTGTTATTCTTTGTCTCCCTTACCCCACCCCGAGCAATTTTTTATCCTGGGTTGGTTTAGTCCGTGGATGCAGAAGCCATGGATAAGGAGGACCGACTGTGTTCTGTTGTTTGGGTATGTTAATTTTTCATACCACTTATTGATGGCCAAGTAGATTACTTTGAATGTTTTGCTGTTCTGCTCTGGCAAGCCAGCATAGTGTTGTAGTTAGAAGTGTGGATTCTGATGTTCAAGTTCCACTTTCATTAAATGCTAGTGATATTTACTTATCTTCATCTGTTCTCTCACCTGAAAAATGGACCAGTATTTACTTCTGTAGGACAGTCATGAAGAGGTTGAATACATAAAACACGTAGTGGTTAGTAAGTTTTATTTGGGTTTTTTGGTGTTTCGTTTTTTTGTTTTTGTCTTTACTGATATGCATCTCCAAGTGTATCTTTTGTATTGGTTACTGAAAGTGAAATTTCTGGCCGGAAAGTGTAAGTGAAATTTTCATAAGATGTTGCCATATTGTCCTTCAGAGAGATCACACCAATTTACACCACCACCGTCCTACTCTGCTTTCTAATGAAGTACTGGTACTGACTGACACTGTTCTAGAAGCATGAGCTTTAGTTTGACTGATTCTTTGAAGCAATCTTAAATTGCCCGTTTTTTTGCATTCTTGAATATGTTCTAAAGTAGCAATCTTTCTGCCGTTTCACATCAGACTTTAATTTTTCAGGATCAGTTGAAAAAATTGCTTGCTGCTTTAGAAAAAATCATTCTCATATCATGAAACGCTAAGCTGTGCTCTGGTATCAAATGCAGATTTTCTGCATGGTTCTTACATTTAACAGAATATAGAATCTTCAGATCTAAAGAGATTGGATGAAGTTTGGTATTAAGGGAAAATATTGGCTTAAAAGGCAATTATAATCACACTTTCTCCTCATTCAGATATGCACCAGGAGTTGATCCACCACGCTACTTTGGCTTCTTTTAGTTATTAGAGTAATTTCCTCTTGCTAATTGTTTCCCACATTAATTTTAGCACCACTCTGCTTTCCTTAGCCTCATCTGATGCAAAACAGGCATCTATTTAGGAATCTCTGCCTCTGCATAGCTGGGATATTTTAGGCATGGTGCTCTGACCAGCAGCTGAAGTGCTGGCCATCAGCTACTGACACCTGTTGAAAAATGCCAGTAGATTTAATTTTTAAAATGTCTAAAATTTTTTACATATGTCAATTATGAGATCACCTGGTGGATCATATTTATTTTTATTCATTAAATACATATTTAGTAATTTTCATGCAGCAGACAGTATTCTAGAAAGTTAATATTAAGGAGTTTTTTTGTTTATTTAGGATACAGTTGCTTGCTTCCATAGTGGAACTTGGGGCTTGTCATGTACAGCAGCGATCATATTTCTCAGAACACACCGCCATGTTGGGTTTCTATACAGTTCTGTAGATTTCATTTATAACACAGTTGAGGCAGCTTAAGTTTTCTGATGACATTTTAAGGCTTGACGTAGGCACTGATTTGAAACATAGGAAGCTCTCTTCCAGTATGGGAAGCATGTTTTAATCTATAAAATACTAAATGCCAAATAAAGGATCTTTGAGGTATTATTAAATGCTCGTACCTCAAGAATGTTTTGAGTTCTTCCTACTATAGAATATAGTAGTTCTTCATTCTTTTCTTTTTTAATAAACACAGAGTCTTGCTGTATCGGCCAGAGTGGTCTGGAACTCCTGGCCTCAAGAAATCCTCCTGCCTTGGCCTCCCAAAGTACTGGAATGACAGACGTGAGCTACCATGCCTAGCCAATTTTTTCCGTCCTTAACTCCAAATTTAGGAAGAAGAGTTCACAACATTAGACAATTGGCGAAGCCTTTTTTTTTTTCTTTTGAGAAAATTCTTTTTTAGTATGAATTAGTAATCCTTTGGGAAGATTAGAAACAGAAAATGAGAATTTCAAGACTCTTTACTATTAAGTGATGGAAATGGAGATAAGGCAAACCTGACTGCAGTAGTCTTGCACCGTAGCCCCCTACCCTCCCAAATATTGTTGACATATAAGAAATCTGTTGCCTGTGATATGCTTAACTAAAATATGTTTTCTCTATATCGTTGAAAAGAATGGGAACTTTTTAATTGAAAGTACAGTAGGCAAAATTCTCATTTTAAGATTTATAGATTCGGTGAAAACATGAAAACTATCTGTATCTTTTAGAAAAAAATTTAATTAAGAGATTTTAGTCCCACCTGCAGTGTAAGAGATCCAACTTCTCTGTGTCTTTGCCAGAATATGATGTTGTCACTATTTTTTAATTTAGCTCTTACAGTAAGTGTGTGGTGATAACATTTCTGGCTTTAATTTGTATTTCTCAAATGCCTAGTAATAAATGAATATCTCATGTTCTTGTCATCAGTAAACCTCTTCTATGAAATTTATCTTCTTTTGCTCACTTTTTTTTTCTTTTTAGACAGAGTCTCTGTCACCCAGGCTGGAATGCAATGGCACAGTCTTCGGCTCACTTCAATCTACTCACCCTGGATTCAAGCAATTCTCCTGCCTCAGCCACCCAAGTAGCTGGGATTATGGGCACATGCCACCACACCCAGCTAATTTTTGTATTTTTTAGTAGAGATGGAGTTTTGCCTAATTTCCCTGACTGGTCTTGAACTCCTGGCCTCAAGTGGTCTGCCTGCCTCAGCCTGCCAAAGTGCTAGGATTATAGGCATGAGCCAGCACGCCTGGCTTCTTTTGCTCACTTTCTAATTGTGTTTTTTTTTCTTTTTACTCCTGAGTTTTGAGAATTCTTTACATATTCTATATCTGAGT